GCGATTTGGGTTACTTTATGGCGCTGCAATTTTCATTAAAACCATACAAAATATATTCACATATTATTTCCCTAAAGTTTCTAAAAAATTTTCATCGTTAAATTTTAATTTGTTTCAGACAAATAAATTAATTTAGTAAACTAAAAAACTAAAAAAATCAAGAGTGCTATGTTAAACAGACTGATAACTGACTGTTTTGTGCGTTTGATTGACAATGCAACAGAACCATTCCCAGACCCCCATAATGTTGAGGGTGTGATACACACACGGGGGGGGGGGCGTCTTCATAAAAGAAACACTGTTTAGCTGGGTGGTTACTATTTGCAATACCAATACAGATGAACGCCAAAGTTAATCAGACAGTAAACCAAAACAATAGATAGATGATTGGATTGAGACCCTCCCACAAACGTTAATTAAAGCACAGTCCTACAGGTTTCCAACAATAAAACACGTGAGTGGTAGTCACATATACATGTCGTCACAGTTCCGTACATCATTTATAGCTTACTGTCCGTTTCAGAACTCTAAAAGTTCAAAAGCCTGTCTTTCTAAATAATTCATCAACTATTTTTGTTTGTTCGCACGCACTTTTAATGTTGGATGCGAACTGGGCTTTTAGTATTTCTTGTTGATACTTTTTAATCCTGAATAGAAATTCAGATTTCTCTGGATATGATATATAGGCTACTATTAGAACTATGACTATCATCCAAATGGGCAATGTCGAAATTCATATGTTTTGAGTGACTAATCACAAGATGTGATGCCGGCAAAGAGTGCATATACCGTCCATAATAGCAATACCCACGAATACTGGACTGAATGAACAATTTTAACTGATACCAATGATACGCGCACACACACGAATCCTGACTATATGCCAACAAATCTAACCACATTTCTTGGGTTTCGCGTACAAGCTATTGGCAAGTTTATTGGATAAGAGTGTACAGAAACATCTGAAATAACGACAACTGGACACATATCCAGCGGATCTAGCAGAGACCAAATTCAAACGTTTATTTTCCGACTTGTGGCTATTGTCATTGATTTTCATGAAGTCAGGGCTAACATAGAAATTGCTGAATATTTCATAATGCCTAGCATATGGAAAAATAATAACAATTTGGCGCGATTGAAAAGCTCAATTCATATGTTTTCTTCAATATACTGAGCTTATTATTTTTCATATTTTTTACAACCACAACTGTAGACATGAGTTGAGCTATGTGGCTGATATCCGCTGAAATACAGCTGCTTGTCTGAACAACTCACTTCGGGTTATCTCGTCCTATTACCAGTGGTTCTTTTCGATTACAGGAGGTATGAACTACATTGCACCGGCGGCTCTGCTCTCTAACCCGCGCCACGGAATATACAACAGACATAAGTTATTATGCGAACCTAGAACTATTAAAGTCCGCATATTTAAATGTTTTAACCAAATCTCACGTGCGTATGCATGTACGAAGCAAGGAAGTGTGTGTTAATGTTCGGTTCGTCTGTGATCGATTTATAAGCAGTTAAGCCCGCAATATGCAACTGTGTTGGTAGTATATTTCTCTGAAATGTTAGAGCACAATATGCTGTGTATCATATCGCAGCAATGATCTTTTTATCTGCAGCCAAGCTACCATAACATATTTTGCCAGGCATGATGTTTCCAAATAAAAATATAAATCAATTTTTAATACTGTATATGCGTAGAACAAATTATTCTACTGGGTAATTATAAAATGTGATGATAGGTACGCACGGTGTATCCGAAATATTAGGTATAGTAATACATTTACAGATAGAAAAGAAACTGCGTTACCGATGTTATTGACATGTTTCAACTTGGCTTGATACACGTTTATTTAACTTTTACATATACACATAATTTACAGTATATATTGCGCGAATCGATGAGGGTGTTATGAACTACACGAAGCCCAGCCCATATTGAAAACATATTGAAAACATCCATGCACCGCGGTGTTGCTCATTTCATGAAATAAACGCGACGTGAAGAGGACACATGTCTCGTTACTTGTTAGGTGAAACACTGCGAGGAATAGTCCCCATATTGACGGGCGGGTGAACTGAAAACTAATGCGTTACATGGCATGCCCTTTACATATTGAATATGAGTATATTTAACAAAATAATCGAAAAGGATAAAAACCTGGGCACACTTTCGTTTGAGGCGACATTATGGTTTGAAATTGCACCCTGACAGAAACTTCAAACGTTGATGTTTCATTTAAGGTCGTATCTACCTGAAATGTCTGCATAATTTGATAACAAATAAAATAAACAGAAAGTTAATATACGACAAGCATCGAATATTTACGTGTGTAATCGGCGTATTGATCGTATTGCATCGCCTGTTTCTATTATTGTAACTGAAACAAGCAAGGTACGTTATCGTTCACTTTCAATTCCATGGTTACGTGTGTCGTGTTCATACAATGTATACTCATGCAACCGTCAACAATTCATCCTGAAACCCTCCACAAATACATCTATGAAGTCAAAAAGTATAAAACACATCAAAACCTGTACCTTCTAAGTGCGTTCGTGCGGGAAACAGGACGGCCTTCGCGAGGTGTCCGGATATGAAACTAAAATGGCAAGATGGGAAACGCGCATACCACACTGTCAATAGGAAAATCTACACTTTAAGTATCGTAGGTCGACAACTTGGAAGTGCGTGGACATTATAAGCTGACCACATTCCATTTGACTGTCGTATCTGCCTACCAGTAAATTGACCTGCAGCGTCCAGTCACGGTTTGATATCAAGGACGACCCAATTTATATGACTACTAGTGTTTTATATCCAAAATGGCGATTCATTATCTCGCTTTTTTCCACTCCCTCTATCTCGATAAAATATAATGCCCAAATAATCCTGATATTGAGAGGGATTTTTCTACACAGCTAATAATTGATTGGATTGATAAAAAAATATGTATTGTACCCGTGAAGCATCAACTGGGTTATCGCCGTGTAACAACAGTACGACGCAGACACTGTGATTAGTTGCGACGTGCACGCTGTGTCACTTCTCACAGCCAAGGATAGTTTCTATGTACATGTGTGGTTTACATAACACACGGTTGAAGTATATTTTTTAGCTCGGTGGTTCACTGTGTAAGGTTTCCTTGTCTACCAGTTGGCCGATGAGGTATCTCCCTCACAAGCCGCGTAGTGGATCCTAACCCCACTTCTCGTATTTAAGTCAAACTGTTTTTTTGAAATGTATAACACACTCTTTACTTTAATTCTTCTTCATGTGTTTCTTTTTAAATACATATATTTTTTGATTTTGTGTCTGACTACTGGTGAATTTTGCGAATACAAAGCGATCGTGGGACGGTATTGACCGATTTACAGGGCGACCATACCGGTGCGACCCCTTTTGAGCAGACTACTACTGATTTAAAATACTGTCAGTGTTACAAGACAAAAGTGCTTCATAAATAAGGTCACTCATAGAAAACCTTCATCCCAAAGAAAACACAGATCACGACTAGTTAATGAATAGAAGATTTCCCACAGAAATGTCCGAGTTCTACCAAACGCGAACGAGAATGCTAAACAACCCTCTCTTAATGTGGACCTGATAAAAAAAAACTGCAGTCGATTGTCCGGCTGGTCTGAGCAGGACGGAACATCACATCCTCTTGGCCAAACCAGACAGACTACAGGCACCATGCACGCCGTGAGGGAATACACGATTGTACATAATAGTATAATAACAAGACCTCGTTTCTTATAAATGGCAAAGGTGTTTGACTATCGTTATCGACTTGTAAACTAACAGGGGCAGCCAACATTTTGGCTTATTCTAGCAGCAAAGTTCGCTACGTTTGCGTAGCATTTGTAAAACTATATAGCTTTATATGCTTGGATGTCTGTATGTGTATGTGATAAGAAAGAGTATTAATTATTGAGCATACACCTATGATATTTATTTAATTAATTAATTAATTAAACCAGAATAGCAATAACTAAGGTATTCTATGATGGCTATGATGTAGTAGTCCACAATCAAACACACTTGTATAGTTGTGCTGAAATCTCAATCTAGTCGGATATACATTTATTTAGTCCTTCGTATGAAAGAGAAAACAGTGATTTAACAATATCAATACTTGTACATACTTTTTCCAACTATAGTTTAAAATCACGATTGACCGGCGTTGATGTATCGAATTAGCAGTCACAGTGAAGTAAGTTTGTTTCATGGGTATCGGTATACCCTGTAAAGATGAAGGAATCACCGCGGACCCGAATGTTGACAACTCTGACTGTCTTTCAAGACAAATTATTCTCATGTACAGTCGAACAGCAACTAAAATATAGTTTCCTATAACTCAAAACAGAACTTAAATACAGTTATTAAACGTAAGTCCAAAACCTACTTCTTTGTTAGTGTTGCTATACTTCGATGTTCTCATAACTGCTAAAAATATTGAATTTTAAGAACATGTCAAGCAGGTAGCATTGACGTGGTCCACAGATGTATATCCCAGTCATCCCTAAATACGCCTATATTGCCGGTAAAAATGACAATATGAAAAATAACACCAGTTTTGTTCAATAAGAACGGCTGAATTACCGCACCATTTATTTCAAATTCCAAAACCGAAAAAATATATTACAAACATTACCAACAAGTAAAAAATCGAGATGTCGTAGTGACCAATATGCTCCATGGCGATGAAGGCGAGTCACATGGTACAGTCGCCATTTTTTCATTCTTAATTGTACTCACCGGGTTGTGTCGGTTCGTACAGACAAATGGTTACAAACTATTGAATACAAACAAAAAAAATACACAATTTTGATAGTTACTTTACACTACCTTCTATATATGTGGCATATCACTTATTACATACACGTGTATGGTACTTACATACCCGACGCTTTTAACTATAGACACAACTGTGAGAATTATTCATACAAATTACCAAATTCAATCGATGGCTAAACGCTCATTGCACTTGGTGATATGTCGTCTCTTCCAAACGAACGAAAGTCCCACCGATCTCGATTAATATCACGATTAGACGAGACTTTCATTCCTTCGGATCAGACGTTAGACAGTGAATGAGTGCATGCTTGGGTGGCAAGAGTGGTGTACTTACGACGAGTATGTCAAGCCAATTGCAATTCATTGCCATACATACAGTGGGTAGGCTACATGTGACACATTGTCCCCGCCCGCTTACGCTGTTAATGTTGTAACCACCATGGAGTTAGCAAGTCCTCCCCCTCTCAGCTAATATAAACCCACAGACAGGTGTGAACAATATCTGGACAAGCACGACTAACTAACAAGTACAATACGAACGCCCAGTGGGTACACAACCTTCGCAATGAGAAGGCTTTGTGCTAAATACAGTCGAAAAAAAAAATCAAAAGTTAAATAAAAAATGGGAATACGCAGACAGTCAATAGGAATACGGAAACTGAAAAAATGTAAAAAAAAAATAAGGAAAATGTCACCCACCCCACCTATTCATCCAACCAATGAGAGGTGCAGATGGAAGACAACTGTGACTGGCTACAATGATGGTATGACGGTAGCTTGAGCGGATGTCATCAGCGACTAGTTGGGTAGTTTCACGACGAGCCAGTCAGTGCGCACAGATGACTCACATACATTGTATTACACTCGGACGTGAATGGCGTTTGAGTGACAGCACGATAACAGCTCCACGATCAAACGAAAACCACCAATGTGAAGTTATAACAATTTATCTGTGTGTTTTAGACGTATCACGCGTGAAATAATTGCTGTCTGCGCTGTAGAACAAACCCAAATGGATGGACACTGAACAAACAGACTCCACGCATACGTTTACCGTAATCAGCGGACAAACGTCATGTCACTTTCCTGGGAGGAGGAAAATACAGATGTCCCGTATGCAGAGAAATCAGGATGCACCATACGACGTAAGGTCCAGGGCGATTAAAATCCGTCATTTTTTCCACTTTGTAAATACCACTCTAGTAAAACATATACTATCCGTTATTTTGAAGGCAATTGATATGTGTCCATAGCTGCCGTCACTCTGGCATGATCTGAACCGATGTCCCCCTCAATTAACGTGCTGTGTGAATTCATAGGGCGGCAATTTTACATATAAATCGGTTGCATTGTAATCAGCGTTGTAAAGGTACAGCGTAGCAACAATGTCGAGCATATACTTGGGTTTACTCAACTGGACACATTGCCTATTGGTCCATTGTGGGGTGCTACCCCTTTCAATTCATATAGTCTTTTATTTGCTCATCAAAACCTCTGCTATCACAATGTTATTTTAGTCTGCAGCTGTGGAAAGAACTGACCGGCTAAACTTGAGAGCGCACAAGAATCGCCAAAGTACAGAAACATGTAATTGTTGCAAAGCTTTCCTGAAGCGAGTACCAACTCAATGTTTTCCCGTGGAACCAGCCAGGGAAGCGTCACACCAATCATGCACCATGAGACGAGCGTGGTGTCCGGGATTTGATTGGCAGGTGTTCTGACAATATCTCACAGCGGGACAGTAACTTGACGAGCAACTACCATTCATTTCTACTTTAGTTATCCTCTTTCTTCTCTTGTCTTCCATTTTCTGTAGTGTGTAGTTTGGACGTCAGAAAGTGGCCACCAACGAGCACAGGACGGGACCCCTATTCTGAGAAGAGACTAAAGCCCAATCTGCTACAAACACATTAAGGCGTGTTTTGCTTGAATCGGTCGCATTTAGAGCATTTTTCTAATAGCAATAAATTTGTATACGTGCTTTAAAGCAGCACATGCTTTGTGGAAGGTGAAATTATATAATACACTGCTTTCAAAATTAAGGTTTGTCGCCGTGCTCCTAAGAACACGTCAACAGGAGAAAAAAAAAAACGGGCCAAACAACAACTGTTCGGACAATATAGCAGACATGTTGTGGTCCACATTTGTTTGCAATTATGGCGAAATGGTCAGGGATCTTTATGTGAAACCCCTTTCTATGGTACGCATAGAAATGGTAGCGTTACCAATTATACACAGCGTCAAATACCCCGATGGCAATATACATCCTACGTCTTTTTATGCGGTTCTTCAGAGCCGGAGAGCTAAAATAACATTAACACGCGATGAATAGATTGAGACATAGCTCTTTTCTATCGGCAAGTACACAAGGAATAAGAACAAAAACAAAATCAGTATTTATATGTTTTAAATTGAATTTATGTTTGCTACAGAAGAAAAGAAAAAAAGAACAAACATCTAATTCAGCGAGAAAATACGCCCAAGTATATCTTTTAAAGTAAATCTTAACCCTATTTCTCAGCTTTATCTTTAAAAAGTTTATAAAATGCCAAGTCATACGAACGGTGATATGCATGCAAATTTTGTTGCAGTTCAGTGTAATTCTATTCGTCTCATTTATTACGCCCTTTTGTTAGAGTTAAACTTATATCACGTGACTAAAACTTCGACACATGAGACTTGCCACCTATATACAGTTTCATAGTTATATTTAACTTTTCTGAACTACATCATTATCGTACTCAGTAGTTATACCGAACACTACAACAGCTTTGAAATTTTTGAAACCATTTATTTGGTTTCCCAATTAGTTCAATTAATTAGATGTTATTGGACGCTACAATTGTAGACATGTTTTGTTGTCGTTGAGTGGTCAGTAAATTTCGTAGACTTGATGTGTCGACTTTGATCCTTTGCATTGAGCATAATAAAGCATTTTACGATTCAGTGATGCTGGCTTTTACAACGTGAGTTTTTCACACTTCAAATGTATACGTCACTTGGTCCATCAATAAAACCGTCTCTTTACATGCAGGGGGAATATTTGACAATTAAAAGACAATCCACAGGTGTCTGAGGCCAATAACCTTGAATCGTACCCGCTTTTGTGTTTTATCCCGTTAAAGCGAGTGGACCGGCTCAACCAAGTCATTTTGCGATGTATCTATTAATTTATTTATTGATTTTTTTTCTCAATACAACTGAGGCGCTCAACTGAATGAAATGAGAAAATGTACAGTAGCACATGAAGTCCAGTGTGTGGGAGAAAATTACCAGTTGAAATAAGCAAATACACGCGCGCTACCATAGTTACAGGCATCCTCACCAAGTACTCCGTGCACCCATTGCCATGGATACGCATTCCATGTGACGTCCATGCGCACACACAATAATAAGAGTAATTCAGTAAGTATTAGCGGCGGAAAGAGTTGCATTATTAAGGGTTCGCTCGGTTCACAATAGCTTTGGAGAGAGTGGTGTAATTACGCGGTGAACCGAGGCCATGGATCAGCTGAAAGTTCAATGGGTCAGAAATTCTGGACATCCCAATGTGCACTGTTATGATAGGGCTCACTATCTGGACAGCCAAATGTGTAGTTCTATGAGAGGTCTCACTATCTGGACATCCCAATGTGCAGCCCTGGGAGAGGTATGGCAGTCTGAACATCGACATACTAGTATGCAGTGCTAAGCGAGGGCGCAGCGTATGGACATCTATTGAATGTACAGCGCTTTGAAATATCTGGCTGTCTCGGCATCGAAATATGTAGTGCTATGAGAGGTCTTACTTTCTGGGCAGCCCGATGTGTGGTGTTATGTAATGTTGACTGTCTGGGCAGCCCACTGTCTGGTGTTATGTAAGGTTGACTGTCTGGTCCGCCCACTGTCTGGTGTTATGTAAGGTTGACTGTCTGGGTAGGCTACTGTCTGGTGTTACGCAAAGTTGACTGTCTGGGCAGCCCACTGCCTGGTGTTATGTAAGGTTGACTGTCTGGGTAGCCCACTGCCTGGTGTTATGTAAGGTTGACTGTCTGGGCAGCCCACTGCCTGGTGTTATGTAAGGTTGACTGTCTGGGCAGCCCAATGCCTGGTGTTATGTAAGGTTGACTGTCTGGGCAGCCCACTGTCTGGTGTTATGTAAGGTTGACTGTCTGGGTAGCCTACTGTCTGGTGTTACGCAAGGTTGACTGTCTGGGCAGCCCACTGCCTGGTGTTATGTAATGTTGACTGTCTGGACAGCCCAATGCCTGGTGTTATGTAAAGTTGACTGTCTGGGCAGCCCACTGTCTGGTGTTATGTAAGGTTGACTGTCTGGGTAGCCTACTGTCTGGTGTTACGCAAGGTTGACTGTCTGGGCAGCCCACTGCCTGGTGTTATGTAAGGTTGACTGTCTGGGTAGCCCACTGCCTGGTGTTATGTAAGGTTGACTGTCTGGGCAGCCCACTGCCTAGTGTTATGTAAAGTTGACTGTCTGGGTAGCCCACTGCCTGGTGTTATGTAAGGTTGACTGTCTGGGCAGCCCACTGCCTTGTGTTACGTAAGGTTGACTGTCTGGGCAGCCCAATGCCTGGTGTTATGTAAGGTTGACT